CGGTCGACCGCGTCGGTCGACCGCTCAGCACAGAAATGCCTTCTGTAGGCATTTCACCTGCTGGCCATATACCACTCGATTTCTCTCACTTGTATACACCTGCTGGGTTCCTAAACCCCGGTAACAATATATACATCTTATATATATATATGGTTATTTATCACCAAAGAAAGATTTATTACTATTAATCACACCATTTCATTATAAAATTTCGGGGTTTTACATATGTGTGCCTTATAATGCATTCTACATGTGGTTTGATCAAGTTCTACAAAGAAAATTCTATTTATTGATCAAACATTGTTTTTGGATATAAACTTTGATTTATGATTTCTTTTGGTTGATTTATTTTCATTTGAAAACTTTTTGCATGATTCTCATGTTCCTCTTCTTTTGTTTTCATAAATCTATTCTTTTATATGGTTTTTATATTTTTTTGTGTTAATGGGACGCTATTTTCATATTGACATATTTATATGTGTTCTCATTGTCTTTTTGTATGTGAGTTATGTTTAGCATGTTTCTTGCTTGCTCACATATGTATGCCTTAGTATTCATTACATATATTCATTAAGGCATTTTGATAGGGGGAGTCTTTTTTTTTCTATTACTGTTTTTATACTCACCCATGCATATTGATAGGGGGAGCTTTCGCTCTCCTCATCCATTTGTCCCCTTTTTGATGTTGTCAAAGGGGGAAAATATTGTGAGTATATTCTTTCTTGTTTATATACATGATAATTCTAATTTATATATTCATTTCTTTTATGCATATATCCTTTTTGTAATTATTTGTCATCATCAAAAAGGGGGATATTGTTGGCCTTCTTGTTTTGATGATGTTTAATAAACAATTTACTTCTAATGTTGTTTGTCTAGTGTTTGTGTTTTCGTATTTATTCTAGGCAAACAACGAGTTGGAGGTTGGATGGATTGCGCCATAACGATCATATCTAATGGAGGTTGGCGGAATTGTGGAGTGAAGCCATACAATTCAAGTTGAAGATCCAAGTTCAAGCTTCATCCGCAAGATTACCAAGAAGATCTTATTGAAGATCAAGATCATGCTTGGGTAATTTAGTTTAGGAGTTTATATTATGTGTGTTAAGTACTTTAAGCTCAATATCATATACACACACATTTTATTGGTTTCTATGTATATATATAGTTATATATATATGTACACATTTTGGATTTTGATTTATCCACAAACAAAGTTTTTACAAGCATATAAATAAATATTTATATATTTATATTCATACATGTTTGTTTTTGCGTGGATAAATTAGTTTGGTTTAATTTCATAGATATGAAACAAAAATATATTCATATACATACTCATATGTTTCATATTCTATTGTATTTGTGAAAATATTGTATTCATTATTTATAGACTTCATAACAATATATTCTATTGTATTTGTGAAAATATTGTATTCATTATTTATAGACTTCATAACAATAGTTTATATCTTTGAGAAACACCCCCAATGGTTTAGAATTACAAAAACCACCCTAAAATTTCAAAACCTACAAATGATATATGAAATCCAAAAACCACTAGCAGCACCCTGTAAATTTATATTTTGCAAAAAACACCCTCAGTTTAAAAAATTGTAAAAAACACGCTCAAGAGTTCAAAATTACAAAAAAATATTAAAATTTTCTAAACTTACAAATAACATATGAAATCTAAAAAATTTCAGTAGTCCCTTCTAAATTTAAAATTTACAAATAACACCCTTAAAGTTTTAAAATTGCAAAAAACACACTCAATGGTTTAGAATTATAAAAACCACCCTGAAATTTCAAAACCTACAAATGACACATGAAATCTAAAACTTACTAGCAGGCCCCTATAAATTTGTAATTTATAATTAAAAAAACACCCTTAAAGTTTAAAAATTACAAAAAACACCCTTAAAAATTTAAAATTATATAAAACTCTAAGAATTTTCTAAACCTATAAATGACACATGAAATTTAGAAATCTCTAACATCCCTTGTAAATTTAAAATTTGCAAAAATACACCCAAAGTTTTAAAATTTATAAAAAACACCCTTAAAATTTCAAAACTTCATAAAACACCAAAAAGTCCCAAGACATGTAGAAAAACACACTACAAACCTAGAAATTACAAGCCTCTTCTGCGGTTGTGTTTCCATAAATTTCAAACTTAGGGGCATTTTTCATAATTTTTAAACTTTTAGGGTGTTTTCTGTAATTTTCAAATTACAAGTGACTAGTCTCAATTTCCAAATTTTCATGTGTCCTTTGTAGGATTGAAATTCCAAGGCTGTTTTACTAGTTTTTAGACCCCTGAGGTTGTTTTCGTATTTCTAAAACATTGAGGGTGTTTTTCCAAATTTTAAATTTACAAGGGGATGCTATAAATTTTTAGATTTCATCTATCATTTGTAAGTTTAGAAAATTCTGAGAATTTTATATAATTTTAAACTCTTGAGGGAGTTTTTTTGTAATTTTTTAAACTTTAAGGGTGTTTTTTATAAATTATAAATTTACAGGGGGCAAATAGTAAGTTTTAGATTTCATGTGTCGTTTGTAGGTTTTGAAATTTTAGGGTGGCTTTTGTAATTCTAAATCCTTTGTGGGTTTTTTCATAATTTTTAAAACTTTGAGGGTCTTATTTACAAATTTAATATTTATAGGGGACCACTAAATTTTTTTAGATTTCATGTGTCATTTGCAAGTTTAGAAGATTCTGAGATTGTTTTGTAGTTTTGAACTCTTGAGTGTATTTTTTACAATTTTTTAAACTTTGAGGGTGTTTTTTATAGATTATAAATTTTAGGGGGCTGCTGATAATTTTTGGATTTCATGTGTCATTTGTAGGTTTTGAAATTTCAAGGTGGTTTTTGTAATTCTTGACCATTAAGGGTGTTTTTTGTAAATTTTAAAACTTTAAGGGTGTTATTTGAAAATTTTAAATTTATAGGGAACTGCTAAAAATTTTAAGATTTCATGTGTCATTTGCAAGTTTAGAAACTTATGAGATTGTTTTGTAATTTTGAACTCTTGAGGGTGTTTTTTATAAAATTTTAAATTGTTAATGGTTTTTTTAATTATAAATTTTCAGGGGGCTATTGGTAATTTTTAAATTTCATGTGTCATTTGTAGATTTCATAATTTTAGAGTGGTTTTTGTAATCCTAAACCATTAATGATGTTTTTTGTAAATTTTAAAATTTTAAGGGTGTTGTTTGTAAATTTTAAATTTATAAGGGACTATTATATTTTAAATCAATAAGGGACTGCTAAAAATTTTTAGATTTCATGTGTCATTTGCAAGTTTAAAAAATTCTTAGATTGTTTTGTAATTTTAAACTCTTAAGTGTGTTTTTTATAATTTTTTAAACTTTTAAGGGTGTTTTTTTGTAAATTATTAATTTTCAAGAGGCTGCTAGTAATTTTTGAATTTCATATATTATTTGTAGGTTTTGAAATTTTAGGGTGGTTTTTATAATTTTAAACCATTAAGGGTGTTTTTTGTAAATTTTAAAAATTTAAGAGTATTGTTTGCAAATTAAATTTATAGGGAATTGCTAAAAAATTTCAGATTTCATGCCATTTGCACGTTTGAAAAATAGATCCCTAAAACTTTTTTATACATAAAAAGTCCAATAGCTAAATAGATTATTAGGTTACCAATAAAACCACTCATTTTAATAAACGGATGGGTGAAAAGTAACTCATTTAGCAAATGTTAAGTAAGTCATAAATGGACAAATAGACACAAATGCGCCCACCCATTTATGACCCAACCAAAATAGACACAAATGCGCACACCCATTTATGACCCAACCAAAACCACCCATTTGAAAACCTTACACTCGAGAGATAATGCAGCACACTAGACATACTTAGAAGATGAAAAATACCATAGTTGTTAGCAAACAAAACTTTTTCTGAACTAACAGCACCACATAATCAAAATATATAATTTTGCCTTGCAAACAGGTAGGAGCTAACACCGTCAAGCTCCATATCAGCCACCGACGTCAAACATTCCCTTAAATCAAGAACACATACTTTGGCTTGCTAGCTAGCAATGCAACTTAGTTATATCTGCTAACTATTTTGATGGGCGAGTGGCAACCTTAAGCAAGGCGTCCTAAGAGCGACTTGCCTCGTAGGCCTCCCATCCCTGGACTCTATAATCTTTGGCAGCATCAGCAGGATCGGCTGCTTTTATAATTCCGCGGCCTACTATGATGATATCGCTGCCTCTGTCATGAATAACCTGCAAAAGAGCAGAATGTGTCACTAAAAGCTAAAAGCCACAAATAAGTGGTACTTGATCATCTTAACTTGGCATATCAAGACATCTTGAGATGTATGAAGCAACTGAACATTTTTGAGGCTAGATTCGGATCCTCTCCAATTAGGTTCCAATTAGGTGGCAATTGAGGACGGCTCCATTACCGCAATCCTTATGGCCTTCCAATTTTTGATCCTCTCCATGTAGAATCTCCGTTGTCACAATAGTAGTTTTCAAGACATTGGTGGTTTTCAAGATAATAATGGAGATCCAACGTGGCCTCATCTGATCCCTTGAAATTGGAATAGACGGTGAAGATTGAGATAATTGGCTTTCTCCAATTATATCTAAAAGGTACCCAATAGCTTTAGTTTAAGCGCCATAATGTCAATGATTGGAGAATGCTAAAAGCTAGAGACAGTAGCCTGTTGGATTTTATTTGATTTCCAGTTGTTAACCTGACTGAACAATATTACAAGTACAACAAAATTGACAGTGGTCCATGGTAAGCAAATCTTGATCTTGCATATGCTTGTGTTTTAAGGAATTCCACATTCCAAGTCACAGGAAGTACAGACATTTGCTAATTGCGTGTGCACTAAGAAATTTATTCCGAATTGAAAAGAAAACATAAATAGAATAAACCAATAAGTTCCAAACCAATTTGCAGGGTCAACATCTAAAAGTTTATTGTTGACTTGGAAACAAAAATTGAACATGCAAGACTATTTATCGAATCAACATTTCAGATCTTCCACACAAAAAAAAGTAGAAAGGGCCCTTCTACATTGCTAACTTATCAGCAACCTAAAACCACCATATACTTTTATTTGAAATCATCACGTATGTGACCCTTACAGACAACATAAGCCAGTTGAAAAAATGCATCACAACGAAGTGATAAATATGATATTTCGCCTAAAAAGTGGTATATTATATATTGACATATTGTCAGCAGGGTAGAAAAGAAACAAAGAGACAAAAGATAATAACATACTAGAGGACCATTCATTTTTTAGACCCAACATGGCCACCAAACACAAGCACTCTTAAACTAGTGTTTGCATTATAATAATACAATCCATGTCAAAAGAAACTGAATCAGCTTCAAGATCAAAGACATAGCCATGATATCGTCCTCAGATTCCTCTTAATGCTCACAACAACATTTCAACAGATTACGTGAAATCTCTTTAATTGGAGGAATGAAGGTTCACTTTCTACTAGACTAAGTGTATGCTGCGCTGTCCAGGTAGTAAGTAGCATTAAACCAACATTGAAATTTCTCCCTGCTATGTCAAACCCCCCATCCAACCCTAACCCACCCCGAAAAAATGTCACGACAAAAAGTTGCAAATTTGACCTTTAATGAACCGTCATTATGCTGGCTGTAAAAAACCACTAGCTTCAATTTACCTAATTATGAAATATATAAGCACTAGAATTTTTAGCATTCTCAATTCTTGAAGTTCATTTCTATAGCCTCATGGTAGTGTTTAACGATTTCAAATATAAAAAACACTCTGAAAGAACATGTTCAGAGAGAATTGCTTTGCATTTGTTGTGTCTTTGAATATTTTTTACAATGCAAATACAAAAATTAAAAATTTAGAAAGAAAAAAAGGTGCAACTAAATCAAACTTACAGAATAAGGAGTGTTGTATTGCTGGCCTAAGGAGTCCCCTCCTTTAACCATTTGAACACCTGGTGTTGCATGAATAAATCCTGTGTTCCCAGGTCCACCTTGCCATGATGCAGGGTTAACTGATATAAACCCAATGACAAAATCTGAATGCTGCTCAGCAATTTTTACTGCAATTGATGTATAATCTCCAGTGGCGAGATTGCCAGCAGAGCTCATTTCTGCAAGTAGTAAGAGTCCCCTCCCTCTAGGCAAGCCCTAAAAATATTTAAGTTAAAGAAATAAATACTAGAACAAGTTGTTTTAAGGAATCAATTACAGATCAGTCAAGAGGTTTTAGAAACCTTCAACTTGAGGCCATCCACAATGCCAGGTCCAGAGATAATGTGTGCATTAACAATATCCGCCCATTCCAAAATGCGGAAGATGCCTCTGAGACAATACAATGTGACATCATTAATGTATAAAAATACTTGTTGTGATTAAACATAAACAAGAAAGGACAGAAGCTACAAAATATTAAGGTAGCAAATTCTCACCCTTCATACTGCATAGTCACCGTATTTCCAATGTCCGCAAACTTACGATCTTCAAAGATTAAAAAGTTGTGCTTATCTGCAATCTTCAATACAAATACATTCAATGACTAACCATACTTCATATGTCTCATGCATAAATAGGATATAGTCAGAGAAGATCAACGTGATTAGATATCATTAGAATGCTATTAGAAGATGAAATTTGCATGCCAGAATTTCATATGCTTCAAGCTTCACTTCTGACGATTTTAGAAATATTTATTCATATCTGATACATATTTAATTTAAAGATTGCGTATAAGCAGCAGTGAAATACAAAGATCAAAATGCAATCGCAAAATAAACAACCATACAGGTACTATGAAACCTTAACATATTGAGCAACAATTTGGCCTAAACGAACCAAGTCGACATTAATGCAAATGAACTAACCTATGGTGCAACTTAGGATGATCAAGGAATCCTGTGCGCTCACTAACTGAAGAATTCAACTCAAATGAGAATGACAGGCAGGATTAATCAAGTTTTTACGAAAATCATCAGAAACTAATATCCACCAAATCGTGGCTTCACATACCATCTTGTCACCATGATAGCAACCAAGCTAACACAGGGAAAATCAATTTTATCAGAAAAGCTTCTGTTCTTTCATTTGATGGTGTTACACATAAAATTAAGAAGCAATTCTGGACCAACTATCTCGCGCCATGTGCCATGAATCCAAGCCAACATGGAGAACAGATGGCCTATGTCCAACTCAAAAAATGAGACACTCATCTTAGGATTAAGGGCCCAGAAGGAGGATTGTCAGAACTCCCTCTGGGATCGTCTTTGGCAAACACTGACCCACGTGCCCAGCTGTCCCCTAGGGCTGCTAGGCTACGGCTAGGGCACCCTGACCCTTGTGTCTCACAAGTCAGCCACTTGAGTGCCTTAATTTTATTAAATGCGCCTCACTTTTATTAAGGTAAAAAGAAGCTTCCTCAACCTATGAGGGCCTGACGTGTATCCATCTCAATCGTCTGAGATGATGACACCCCCTCCTCCACATCCATCCTCACAGTTATCTATATAAAGGAAGTTCCAATGGAAATTACCTCTCTAAACTAATTTTATTCCACTTCCACATTTACTCTTCCTCTCCTGTATTCAATACACTTTAAGGAAGATCCTAACTTGAACCTCAGAGGGCCCACCGGAACTTGTTTTCTGCCGCCTTCTAGCTGTCGTAGCTTTGTCCAGCTAGGCTACTAAGAATATTGCATTTCCACGTCAATGATTCGCTTGGGGGGCCCTTCCCAGATAATCCTCCACATAAGCAAGGTGACTTGTCACTTTTTACCATGCTTAAACAGATGGCAATCTTTAATAACATATATCGTCAGAATTCTAAAATCAGAGAAGTGCCCAACTGCCAAAAAGGGGAAAAACACTATGCAACTCATAAACACAAAAAAACCCTTAAGCTCTGTTTGGCAACCCAACAATAGACAACCAGGCCAGGCTGGCTTTCTCTTTAATCAGATCAGGGCTGGTCCAGGGTGAGAGGTGGACCAGTTGTGGCCTGTTTTCAGAGCCAAAAATTAGCTAGGAAAAACTGAGCCAGACTTGGCTATGTTTTTTCCAGACACAAAGTATTCTACAATTGGGCCAGGTTTGAACCTGGCCCAGTTTTATTGGGTAGACAAACTGGTACTTAAATTCAACTAGAAGTAGTTAGAGACATGATGTTACAAATGATCAAACTTTAGCTACAACATGACTCAAACATAAGATGGGTTCTTTTTTTTTCATGTACCTCTAGAATAAACATGAACCCTATCTGTTAAATTTCAGAAACGCAATGATCTTTAAGTACAATAAAGATGAAAACAGTTAATAGTAGAGGAATTGATCAGACATAAGCTCCATTTCTGAAACAAATTTAACTTAACACCCAGTTTTCAGATAACATTACAACTTGAATTCATGTATAGTATAAGATCCACTCACCACTGAATTCATGCGACACTAAATCTGTGTCAATTTTTTGGATTTGGTTTATAAAAGATCCGGACAGTTTATAGTTACTTTAGTTCTTCTTTTAGCATGGTTTGCAACATTAATTAGTGAATAAGGAGAGATAGTATACTATGTAGCACGGACACAGATCCGACATGGCCATCCGACACGCCGACACGAGGAAAATAGTAAAAAATACATAGGATACGTGTGTTCGACACGTGTGTCCGACACAGACACGACACGACACGGCTTCATGTTATGCATGTCCATGCTTCATAGATAGTATATGGATACAATCATCATTATTTGTAATATTTCCTTTTTCACAGTAGGAATGTAATTCCTTTAGGAAGCATTCACCCATTCCCCTTTTTCTGACTATTGTCTTTTTTGTTTTCGTGGTGGAGTTTGGGTGGCGGGTTGGGGATGTTGCTTGGGCCTATTGATTGGCTCCTATGCTGCAGAAGCTGAATCTACACAATGATAAGGTAGGTTTCCTACCTTATGTGGAGCTGACCCTAGTGAGTCTCCCTCTCATCCATGGTTTCTTAACGAACATATGTCAAGCTTTGACAACTCTTTCGTGGACCTTGTGCTCCATTCACAAACCATGTTATAACGGGAAAAGTCTTTGCCAGGCCTTTTTTTGGGATGATGATGTTGTAGATGATAATGGACAAATAAATAAATGTTGGGGAGCAATTTACAAGGTGTGATCAGCTGCCATGAAGCCAACCCCAGATTTTGCATGAACGCTTTGTTTACGATGATGATGGTGGTTGACACCATGTACATAGATACTAAAAATAGTGGATTACATAACTTTTGAGTTGAGTTTTGACAATATAAAAACAGAGATTTTAAATCTTTGATAAACAACAGAGCTTACTAATAGTCCATCCTGTGCATTGTATTCATGCTATTATGTCATTTATCATCTTTTTACACCATAAGGTAACCACATAGATGCTCCTGGTCCTGTATGAGTTTTTGTTATGTAAAACAAGTGCGGGAAAAAGTAAAAGTTAAAAAATTAATTCCAAACAATAATACTAAAGCGATGTCGTGAAAAATAAGGTAATTATAGACATGAGCATGAGAGACTACCGAGCGAAGCCGAGAGCCAAAATCAGGTGTAAAATCAGGCAGTATATCCACATGTGTTTTCAATAAGCAAATCTCAGGTCCAACCTGCACAAAACATAACAAAGATTTATTTATATAATGATTATGAATACTGAACTCTAGAAAGTACTAGCAAACTTATTTATCAACCAGAACATACATCATTAAAAATTCCTTCACAAAATGATCTGCAAGATAAGTGAAAAGTGAAAAGTGAAAACTTAAGAAACACTTCTCATGCAAGTGGACAAGAAATAATCACTGATCCAAATTCCTCCACATGCATCTATTATACTGTTGGAAACACTTGTCCCGAATTATCTAAGAATGCCTGCTATACCTTTTGCACTTTCCCCAATGTTGAACCCATACATAAATTTTCAAAAACTTGAAGTTTCTTCATTTGAATGGCAACTTGTTCCCTAATGTGGTATAAACTCCCAAACCATCAACTGACATCAAGAAATAAGGTAAAGATCATCCTGTCTGCGGCAGATGCAACAAAGGCAAACAACACACCATCCCGCTGTGGAATTATCAGAAGTAAAAGCATATGATATTGTATCTTTTTCTATGCAAGTACAAGCATAAACAATGATCAGAGTAAAAGCATATCCTGAATTGTCTGTCACTGTAAATTTATCATTCATGTAACCCAAAACCAATAAACATTTACTCAATATAATGTGTTATTACGAAGAAATAATTAGCATTGTGTATAGTTAAAATATAAACCTTATCAGCAATCTCAAGCAACTCTTTGGCAGTCCCCACATCCGCCGCCAAGCACAGATTACTCTGCTTCGCCTCCATCACCTCCAACAACCTCCTCCCTGTCGGATTCTTCACCATCCCAACCCTCTCTCTATACGAAACCCTAACCCTAGGCACAACTGCCTCCGGCTTCACAGCCGGAACCCCAACGCTCCGATTCGCCTCCAAGAACTCCCTAACCTCCCTCGCCTTCTCCTCCGTAACCCTCCCATTCCTCACCAAAACCTCCACCATCTCCGTCAACCTCACCAAAGAATGCAACTTTATCCCCTTCCCCGCCAAATTCTCCCTCCCTCCCTGCTCCCGATCAATCACCACAACCGCATCCCTAACCTCCAACCCCGCCTCCCTCAGCGGCGCCGCCGTCTCGAGCACCGACGCCCCGCTCGTCACCAGATCCTCCACAATCAAACAAACCTGTCCTTTAGAGAACGATCCTTCGATCGATTTCCCGGTTCCGTACGATTTGATCTCCTTTCGGCGCACGCCGCAGACGAGATCGAAGGAGGAGGAGGAGGAGGAGATTGAGGAGAAGAGGAGGGAGGAGATTTGGGAGAGGAGATTGGGGTAGGAGACGATGAGGCGGAGGTCGATGTAGATTGGGGAAGAGATGCCGGATTTGAGAGTGAAGGTGCCGAACTTAACGGCTTCGATTGAGTGGAGAGCGAGGATTAGGTCTTCCATTTTAGGGTTAGGGCTTTGAGCTCGAAAGAGAGAAAGAGTGAAGGTGGCGTTTTGAAGTGAACAAAAGTTGAAGACAGAGGGGGGAATTTTTTGGGGGGAGGAGATCGAGCGGGTAACTGATGTGGGCCCATAAGGACCGCCCCACTTGGACTTGGTACCTATTTTGGAGAAATTTTCCTATTTAGTCCCCAACATTTAACTGACTTCTAAATAACCCCCAAGTGTCATATAGTTGAAATAAGTTCTGCAAAACTGTAGCTTTCTCAATGGTAATTTTTTCACAAAATCCCTTAGATTTCGATGCTTTCCCATGGAATGCAGGTTTTACTTTCCCACTAAATCACTTGGGGGCTGTTTGGTTGTTGTTGGTAAAGTTGTGTATTTATGACACAACTTGGAAAGTTGTTGTCCACCTCATCAATTTCACTTTTATACTTTTCTTTGTTTGTTTTTGATTCCATTGGAATCATAAAACACTTGTTTGGTTTGCAAAATAAAACTTTAATTGTTTGTTTGGAAAGTGTAAAAAGTGGTTCCTACTCAAATGATCATATTGGTTGGAATTATTTTTTATTATTTTTTCCTAACTTCAATGTTAGCTTTCTCCTAAAATCATGTCTTTTTTTCATGAAATCACTTTACAAGCCACGTCAGCATATGAAATCACTTTACACTATTTTCATAACTACAAACAAACAATTGAAAGTGATGAAAGCTGACATTGGGACCCACTTTTTTACACTTTACATCCTTTTACATGGTAAAAACATACAACCAAACAGCCCCTTGAGCTTCGGAGTGTCTCGTAAAACCCAAAAGCTTACAAATTTTTTTTAACGATCCTCTTACCTGCACATGACAAATAACTAATAAATGTCATTGAGATGGGGGGATAAAAATCCCAGCTTAAACACCCTTTAAAGAAAATTTTACCTTCATTTTTAATCATTTTCCTAATAGGCTCCCTTTTCGAATTGGAATTTCTTTTCTCTAGAAGACATTTTTATTATTTGCCTTTTTATAGGTGGGTAGTTTGTTATAATAAATTAGACACTTAGAAGGAGGTTATGTGAGACACCCAAGTCATAGGGGTTTTATCGGGTGAGAGTCAATGGTTTCCTAAAAAAGCCACCAAAGTTTAAGGTTTCTTTGTGAAATTTATATTTTATTTAAGTAACTCTTACAAGAAATTGTTAACTCTAAATTAACTAATCTCCATTAATTCTTTGTTGCACATCTTAGTCTTTCCCAAATATCTATGTCTAACACTTACAATATGATACGATAGAAACTTCCTAATAAACACAAACAAGAAAACATGCA